AGTTCCGTATCTTCTCCCACTAGGGAACACAGCCCTTTCAAAATGCAATTGTTGAGCAATTTCCAGGACAAACATATCCAGGAATGGCTTACCATAATTGACCCTACATACTTCTAAAACATATTGTATTTCCTAAAAGCCAATGTTTGGTTTCAGTGCATCACTCTCATGCAGGAGAACTACATGGTAAAGGCTAGTGAAAAGAAGCTGAATGACTAACAGGAGTTAATAAGGGAGAGAGAGGAAAGGCAGCAGCTGGCAGCATATCAGGGGGTCCGATGTGGGGGGCTAGGTTGGTTCTGGGGAGGCATCAAAAGGCCAGGGGGGCCTCATTGAAGTCTGCTGAGAGCCCAGTCCTGCACCCCAGGAAACCAAATTCCCTTCCTAAGACTTTCCACTACAAAAAGGATTGAGCTTAAAAGTTGCTAGCTAATATGGCCAGTTTGAAACAGCTTCCAACAAATGAAAAACAATTCATGAAAAGAGATTAAAACCGTCATAACTCACAATGCGACCCTAAAAAGGAATGCAGAAGAAAAGCCTTAAAGAAAAGCAACTCCAGCAGGGTATGGATTGATAGTATATGTTCCTCTGGGACAAATAAGAAGGTACATGATAACCACGTTTAAATATTTGAAAAGGTGACACATTGGAGAGGGGGCAAACTTATTTTCTGCTACTCTGGACACTAGGACATGGGATAATGGATTCAAATTGCAGGAAAAGAGATTCCACCTAAACATTAGGAAGAATTTCGTGAAGGTAAGAGCTGTTGGGCAGTGAAACATGCCACCTAGGAGTGTGGTGGAGTCTCCTCTGGAGGTTTTAAGCAGAGGCTTTATGGCCATCTGTCAGGGATGCTTTGATTGTGCATTCCTGCATAGCAGGGGATTATCTGGATGGCCCTTGTAGTTTCTTCCAACTCTATGATTCTGTGAAAGAGACAGAAATATGTACTTGCGGCATTCCCTATCAGGAGAAAGGAAAATGAGGTTACTGTCCTCTGAAACAAAATAGAACTCTATGCCCTCCCAAATTTTTTTAATTAAGTCCCCAAATTTCTAGCATTGAAAAAGTGAAAAAATGAAAAATGGTTATGTTCACATTCCCTGTGATACCGTTTCCTGACCACCTTTTTGGGGAATGCCTTAATTGTATATACATACTTTAATTTGCAAACCAGATGTGTAGGGAAAACTCATTCTTAGATATGTTTTGGAAGAAGCATTCAAATATTTGTCTACTAATGCAAGGCTTATTTTTTATTTTGTGACAAAAGCATTGCATAAATAACTACAAAACTGATAAAATAGAGGAAGTACAAGCAGCTAAATATTTTTTGACCAAAAACGGGAAACAGTGACTGCATTGTCTGTGGCTTTAAACAATTCTTCCTCTGTGCATGAGGCAGGGCACTGTGGGCAAACATACAGATGCGGATTTGTTTGTTCTGCTCCACAGTTGCACAAGGTGGAGGATTCTTCTAGGGAGTGCCATTTTGCCAGGTTTCTTCTGAGTGTGAGTCTGTTCAGGGACTTCCAAGTTGCCCATTCTTGGTTTGTCCCTGGAGGAAGACTCTCATGGGAGGCCATTCAGTTAGGATTTCCTAGTTTAGCTGACAAAAGGGATGCTCTTGCTGTTGTTGGGGGGACATTAAAAGGGCTAGTGGTTCTACTGGAAGGATGAAGATAGCCATGCAGTTGATGGCTTTCACAGTGTTCAACCTTATTTCTTCCCCAGTTAACAGCAACTTCCTGTGGTACATGGGGAAGGGGGCAAATGCCAGCTTGCTTGTAGACTCTATAAACAGGTGTGGGCTTGAGACATCCTGTGATTATTCTACATGTCTATATTCACCTGCTTCGTGTGGACAGACTTGTGCCAAACAGGGCAGGCATACCTGGCAGTTGCGTAAGACAAGGCCAGGGCTTATGTTCTTATTAATTCTGGGTCTGCACCACATGTGCTGCCAGTAAGTTTCCGCAGGATGTTATTGTGTGCAGCTACTTTGTGCTTGGTCTTCATACAGTGTTATTTAAATGTTAGTGTTGGATCAGGCCTGTAGCCAGGATTTCGATTCGGCGGGGGGGGGGGGGCTGAGTCTGAGTGAAAGAGGGTCTACCTAGCAAACCTTTTGTATCATTACCCCAATACCCCCATGCATATGGGATATATTGAGCATGGTGATCAGATCATGATATGAATAAACATAACAGTTTAAATAATGCACAGTAAGGCCCTCTTCGCGAACCACCATGAGAATTTGGGGGGGGGGAGGCTGAAGCCCCCAAGCCCCCCCGGCTACATGCCTGTGTTGGATCTAAGGTGACACCGAGATATTTAGGATGGGAACAGTGTTCAAGCTCTGGGCCTTCCCAGGTAACTTTCAAATTCCTGTTGGCTTCATGGTTATGTAGGTGGAAGCACACACTTGTGTCTTGGTAGGGTTAGGCTTCAGGTAGTTATCTTTGTAGGCTTACCCTTCATTACTTCATTTCATCCACGCATATTAATTCTGAATAAACAGTTTGCCCAAAAATACTTGATTACTACTTTTTTATAGTGTAGAAACCCATCCCTGTTCTTCTCATGTTATTTCTGCCTCTGGTACCAAATGTTCTATTAAAGAGGCAATGCTCAGATGCAAAGCGTATATCTGCTGCTACATTGCCTGTTGTAGGCAGACACACAAGGCTACAGTAGGCTCAGGTAGAGTATAATCTTATTTTTCCCCAGATACTTTATAGCATTATATACTGCAGATATGCAAATAGACCCTGACTATCCTCTCAGTCTTAACACTGCTAAAAAATCCAATTAGACAGAAGTTGAGGAGGGAAAGATGGGGTTAGGTGGGTATAAAAACACAGCCTTAAAAGGGAGGTTCTTTTCATAATGATCCTTGTACATAATTCTAAAATCTAAAATATTCCAAAATGATCTGCATGAGTTGCTGAAATATGCACTATATGTGTAAGGTGTATATGGAACATAAATGAATTTTATGTTTAGATCTGGGTCTGACCTACAACATATATTATTTATGGATATGAAAATATTCCAAAATTTGAATAAAAAATCGAAAATACACTACTTCTGGTCCCAAGCATTTCGGATACTCAGCCTGTGCAGCATTACCAAATACTCAACAAAAGTTATAAGTCACCTCAATGCTAAAATTTGGGGGATTAAAGGCAAATTTCACCACTTTAACTGCCAGGGCTCAATGAGATGGGATCCTGGGAGTTATAGTTTGTTGGCGGGTATGATAACTCTTTGGTAGAGAAAGCTAAAGACCTTCTAAAACCACAGCTTGCAGTAGTTTGAGACCATTATTAACATTAGCATTATATATTGTTTTTATAGGGCTTTATAGTTTTGTGTTTATGTGTGTATTGTTGTGCTATTTTGTTTTATTAATTGATATGTGATTGTTTTCTATGTATATTATTTATTGTATTCGTTCATTTTACTCTAAGCTGCCTCGAGTCCCTCTGGGGAGAGGGGGTTGGGTATAAACAGGGGCGGCTCAACCATTACGCAAAGTAAGCATTCGCAGTATAGTTGATTTTACCCAGGGGCGCTCTTGAGGTGCTCTTGGGGGAAAATAGACCTTGACATATGCGAGTTGTAGCTCCTGGGATGTATAGTTCACCTACAACCAAAGAGCATTCTGAACTCCACCAATAATGGAATTGAACCACATATGGCATACAGAACTCCCACGCCGAACCGAAAATATAGATCAGTGATTGGTTTGGGGGGGGGGGGGCGGCGCCAAAATACTGTTTGCTTACCGTTGAAAATTACCTAGGGCCGCCTCTGGGTATAAATAAAGCTTATTATTATCATTTGCTGCATAACAAGATTTGTCCACATTAAACAAGATCGCTTGCTGGCTATTGTATTGGATCTCACGTCGGACACTTCCCAGGTATCTAGGACTATGTGATGTATCGGCAAATAATGTGTGCAGATCCGAGTAGGGTGGCCTTATGCAGCTGACAGATGGTAATTGTTTTTGGTGCCAATTGTTTTTAAGTGCTGGCCAAGGTCTTTAGGCACTGCACCCAATGTGCAGATCACCACTGGGACCACCTTTACTGGCTTGTGCCAGAGTCTTTGCAGATCTTTCTTTAAATCTTCATATTGTGTCCGCTTTTCCAGTTTCTTCTCATCAATTCTGTAGTCACCTGGGATTGCAACATCAATGGTCCATACTTTGTTTTTTCCCCATGATCGTGAGGTCAGGAGTATTGTGCTTCCATATTCATTCTGCCTTTCTCCATTATCCAGCACATACTGGTCTCCCATTCCTCTGCTTGAAATACAATTTCAGAAATGTATTATATATTGAATAGCTGTGTAGGACCATATTCTTTTATCCTTGTCAGAAGCAACTTGAGAAACTGCAAGTCGCTTCTGGTGTGAGAGAATTGGCTATCTGCAAAGACGTTCCCCAGGGGACGCCCAGATGTTTTATCATCCTTGTGGAAGGCTTCTCTCGTGTCCCCGCATGAGGAGCTGGAGCTGACAGAGGGAGCTCATCTGCGCTCTCCCCGGATTCGAACCTGCGACCTGTCGGTCTTCAGTCCTGCCGGCACACGGCACAGGGGTTTAACCCACTGCGCCAACCACCGGGGGCTCCTACAAGGATGGAAAAACATCAAAACATCCGGGCGTCCCCTGGGGAACGTCCTTGCAGACAACCAATTCTTTCACACCAGTTTTTTTAAAATTGGACTTCATCTCCCAGAAGCCCCAGCCATGTTGGCAAACAGTGAGGGATTCTGGGATTTGAAGTCCACAAGCAAAACTGGAGGCCCAAAGCTTTGGCGTGAGAAGCAGCTATTCATTGGGTCCAGTGAGTAGAGCGCTCTTGCAATTCAAGGCGATGCCTGCCTATAAGAGCAACAAGGAAAAGGAGGGAGCTGGTGCGCATGCGTGCGCTGCGCCTCCCTCCCTCCCTCCGGCCCCCCTCTCATTGTGGGCGGAGCCAAGGAGCCGAAGGGGCGGGAGCGGAGCAAAGGCATCGCATTGAGCCATGGCTCCTGGCGGGCAGGAAGTCCTCGCTTGGCCGGGCAGCCACTGAACCCGAGTCCGCCTCCGCTCCAGTCTGCCTCTCAAGGTCGGAGCAGAAAAAGAAGCAGCGCCAGCCAGCGGCAAAGCGGGATCGCCCCGATTGCAGGTCTAGATGGGCTTTTGATTGTCTCTCTGGCTCCTGGGGGTGATGAATGCAGTTGGGCAGCCCTTGAACTGCCATGGCTTCTTAGCAGGGAAGCCTGGGCTTTGGCCACTCTGGCAATACCACACATCCCAGGGTTCCATAGCATTGAGAGTGGTGTCAAACTGGGTTAATTCCGCAGTGTAGATGGCGAGCTCAGGGATTGGGAGGAGGAGGCCACGTGGGCCAAAAGAAGAATTGAGATTGTATTGTTTTGAAATGCATTGTTTAATTATATTTGGAGAAGGATAGCACAGTTGAATCTATACTGTAGAATGGATGGGGTTTGACACCACTTGAATTGCCCCTGGCTCAATGCTATGGCAACCTGGGAATTGTAGTTTTCTAAGGCATCAGCATTGTTTGGCAGAGGAGGCTCACAACTGGAGTCCCATTACTCTATAGCAGGCATGGGCCAACTTGGGCCCTCCAGGTGTTTTGGACTTCAACTCCCACCATTCCTGACAGCCTCAGGCCCCTTCCTTTTACCCCTCAGCCGCTTAAGTCCAAAACACCTGGAGGGCCCAAGTTGGCCCATGCCTGCTCTATAGTATTGAATGATGCTAGCTAAAGTGGAATCAAACCATATTGGGCCATCCAGGTGTTTTGGACTTGAACTCCCACCATTCCTAACAGCCGGGACTTATGGAAGTTGAAGTCCAAAACATCTGGAGGGATCAAGTTGGCCCAGACCTGGTGTAGATTAACACTTGGATGCTTCCATGTGTGGCTTTGATAATAATAATAATAATAATAATAATAATAATAAGTGTCCGACGTGTGATCCAATAATAAAAATAATAATAATAAATGTCCGACGTGTGATCCAATAATAATAATAATAATAAGTGTCCGACGTGTGATCCAATAATAATAATAATAATAATAATAATAAGTGTCCGACGTGTGATCCAATAATAATAATAATAAGTGTCCGACGTGTGATCCAGTAATAATAATAATAATAATAATGTGTCCGACGTGTGATCCAATAATAATAATAATAATAATAATAATAATAAGTGTCCGACGTGTGATCCAATAATAATAATAATAATAAGTGTCCGACGTGTGATCCAATATGACAGCCAGCAGAGTGATCTTGTCTTCTGTGGACTCATCTTGTTGTGTTTCACATAATAATAAACCAAAACAAACCTCAATGGTCCTCTGTAAGAGAGAAAAGGTAAATTTGCTTTCCATCTCTCCTTTGTTGTTGTTTTTCTATACTCTCGCCTCTATTCATCCCTCAAAGCAGTTGTTCCCAACGTTTGGTCCTCCAGGTGTTTTGGACTTCAACTCCCAGAAATCCCATCCAATTTACCAGGTGTTAGGAATTGTAGGAGCTGAAGTCCAAAACACCTGGAAGCCCAAAGGTTGGGAACCACTCCCTTAAAGGAAGGAATGGAGATCTTTATACATTACTGGTTCCCAATGTTTGGTCCTCCAGGTGTTATGGACTCCAATGCCCAGAAATCCCAGCCAGCTTTCCAGCTGTTAGGAACTGTGGGATCTGAAGTCCAAAACACCTGGAGGACCAAAGGTTGGGAGCCACTGCCTTAAAGGAAGGAAGTGACCTCTCTATACATCTGTCATTCCCAACCTTTGGACTGCCAAATGTTTTGGACTTCAACTCCCAGAAGTCCCAGCCAGTTTACCAGGTGTTAGGAATTGCGGTAGCTGAAGCCAAAACACTTGGAGGCCCAAAAGTTGGGAACCACTGCCTTAAAGAAAGGAATGGAGTTCTCTATACATCAGTGGTTCCCAATGTTTGGCTCTCCAAGTGTTTTGAACTTCAACTCCCAGAAATCCCAGCCAATTTCTAGGTGTTAGGAATTGTAGGAGCTGAAGTCCAAAACACACGGAGGACCAAACATTGGGAACCACTGCCTTAAAGGAAGGAATGGACCTCTCTATACATCAGTGGTTCCCAACCTTTGGGCCTCCAGGTGTTTTGGACTTCAGCTCCCATTATTCTTAACCAGCTGTTAGGAATTGTGGGAGTTGAAATCCAAAACACCTGGAGGACCAAATGTTGGGAACCACTGATGTACATCATATTTAGGTAGGGCTTTTCTGATGCCTCCTATAAAGGAAGGCTTTTCTTGAGATAAGAAATGGCAAACTTACCAACAGTCCTGATTTGATAGGAACAGTTTCAATTAATCCTCCGCTAGCCTATGTTTTTAACAGCTTTGTAAAATGTCCCGGTTCCTCTCCCTTCTTCTCAGGGCCCTTCCACACAACCATATAACCCAAAATATTAAGGCAGAAAATCCCACAATAAATGCTTTGAACTAGAATATATGGCAGTGTGGACTCAGATAACCCAGTTCAAAGCAGATATTGTGGGGTTTTCTGCCTTGATGTTTTGGGTTATATGTATGTGTGGAAGGGTCCTCACTTTTCCTCTTTGTCTTCACCTTCAGAGCGCCCGGTGGTGCAGGAGTGTGCTGGCAGGACTAAAGACCAACAGGTCAGAGGTTTGAGTCTGGGGAGAGCACAGATGAGCTCCCTCTGCCAGCTCCAGTTCCCCACGTGGGGACATGTGAGAGGCTTCCCACAAGGATAGTAAAACATCAAAACATCCGGGCATTCCCTGGGCAATGTCCTTGCAGACAGCCAATTTTCTCATACCAGAAGCAACTTGCAGTTTCACAAGTCACTTCTGACATGAAAAAAAAAGCTTCAGCTGCTGCAAATGGGATCCAAAGGGTTAAATCAAGTTTTGCACTAAAATAGCACTTCACACCCTTCTATACTGCCAGATTATCAAAGCAGATAACCTACATTATCTGCTTTGAACTGGATTATGAGTCCACACTGCCATATAATCCAGTTCAAAGCAGATGATCTTGATTTTATATGTCAGTGTAGGGACCCTTCCACAGCCATATAACCCAGAATATCAAGGCAGACAATCCACAGTATCTGCTTTGAACAGGATTATCTGTGTCCACGCTGTCAGATAATCCAGTTCAATGTGGATTTTGTACAGCTGTGTGGAAGGGTCCTAGAAGGGGCCTACGAGAAGAGATACTCTCGGGTCAAACTGCTTTTTCTTTGCTTCTTTGTTCTTTCTCAGTTCTTCTGCCATCTTGACCAAACTCTGATTTTCCTTGGCTACATGTGCCTTGGTTTATAGCTATTGCATCTTGGAAAGGTGTCTTGTTTGGCCTGTTTGAACAAGGGATATTAATGATTCACTGCTCAGTGAATACAGAGCTCAAGTATAGCAAAGGTGAACCTTATAAAAGTGTTGCAGAGAGCTTTGTAAATGGGATATGAAAAGACTTTTAGAGAATCAGGAAGAGCTTCATGCACTAAACTGTTTCTTCAGTGTTTGCAGATGAGAGGATGCGGCTAGAAATATCTATCAATCTATCAATCAGTCTATCTAATCTATATAAAATGTAATGTTCATTTGTGGGATTAACATAACTCAAAAAACACTGGATGAATTGACACCAAATTTGGACACAATACACCTGTCAGGCCAACAAGTGACCATCACTCATAAAAACACTGAAAAACACAGCAGAATAAACTTTAGAACCCCCCCCCCCCCAAAAAAAACCCAAACAAAAACTACATTACAACGCATGTGCAAAGCCACATATATACACATATGCACAAATACACACACATACACACACAAAACACAAATACACAGACTGGGTCACAGCAACACGTGGAAGGGGTCGGCTTGTGTATGTATGTGTGTGTGTGTGTGTGTGTGTGTGTATATATATATATGTATGAATTATTGGAGTGCTAACAAAATGTATATTGCATCAAAGAAAATACTGGTTTCAGTTGGAGCTTTAGGTAATAAAATATAGATTCAGCTATATTCAAAGCAGAATTCAAAACGATCTTAACTGATTAGAGAGATGAACCAAAACTAACAAAATTAAATTCAGCAGAATCAAATGCAAGATAGTCCACTTAGGCAGAAAAAATGAAATGCAAAGATACAGAATGGGGGATACCTGGCTCGATAGTAGTACGTGTGAAAAAGATGTTGGGGGTCCTTGTGAACAACAAGTTAAACATGAGCCAACAATGTCATGCGGCAGCTAAAAAAGCCAATGGGATTTTAGGCTGCATAAACAGGAGTATAGTGTCTAGATCCAGGGAAGTCATGCTACCCCTCTATTCTGCCCTACTCAGACCACACCTGGGATCACACTGTGTCTGATTCTGGGCACTGCAATTTAAGGGAGATATTGACTCTAAGCTGGAATGTGTCCAGAGGAGGGTGACTAAAAGGATCAAGGGTCAGGAGAACAAGCCCTATGAGAAGCAGCTGAAAGAACTGGGCATGTTTAGCCTGCACAAGAGAAGACTCTGAGGAGACATGATGAGGGCTATGTATAAATATGTGAGGGGAAAGTCATAGGGAGGAGGGAGCAAGCTTTCCCTGGAGACTAGGGTGTGGAACAATAGCTTCAAACTACAGGAAAGGGGATTCCACCTGAACCTTAGGAAGAACTTCCTAACTGGTAGAGTGGTTCAGCAGTGGAACTCTCTGCCCCAGAGTGTGGTGGAGGCTCCTTCTTTGGAGTCTTTTAAACAGAGGCTGGATGGCCTTCTGTCGGTGTTCTTTGAATGAGATTTTCCTGCATCTTGGCAGGGGATTGGACTGGATGGTCCACGAGGTTTCTTCCAACTCTATGAAATGTATCTTCTGTATTCATAGGTGAGAGCATGTCGCTAGAAATATATTATTGGAGTGCTAGCAAAATGTATATCAGGTCTCATCTACACTGCCCTATAAAATCCAGATTATCTGCTTTGAACTGGATTATATGGCAGTGCAGACTCATATAATCCAGTTCAAATTAGATAATGGGGATTATCCACTTTGAAAATCAGGATTATGTGGCAGCGTAGATCCAGCCTCAGTAGTAGAGAAGAAAGTCTTGGTTGCAGTGCATCACGCACAGCTAATGTTATTCATT